TGTTTTTTTCCTTCAAGTTGAAGAATAAATGCATCAATATCATCTATGAAATAAAAAGTTTCATGAATATTCATATACAAATATATTAATGAATTATTTTATACCATAATGTGGTGCAAATCCTTGAGAACCAGGTGGTGTTAAATATGTATTTGCACCAACTAGTGAACCAAAAAATTCTTGAAGACATGATAATAATTTCCAAACATTTTTTGAATATGTATGTGGATTAAGAATACGAACAGAACATCCTTCATTATAAGAATCCCAGACTACAGCTGGACGAGCACGACCTGCTGGATTATGTCGTTCTTTTTTCGATGTTAGTGGATTATAAAAAGTTAAATCAACATTATCACCATATTCAAGTATATTTTCTCGTAAAATATCATCAATATCACTAGTAGAAAATAATCCATTATAATATGTTGATTGTTTACGTGAAATATGTAATGCTTCTTTTTGCCATGTTCGTTTTGTAAATTGTTTTAATGGAATAGGATCAATAAGTAAACTAAATACATGTTGACCAAGAAGAGTACTATCATCGATTGGTACATGATCATGAAGCCAAGCTGATAAAGGTGATTGATCTTCTTCAACATCTTCATCATCGTCATCTTCATCATCTTCATCCATTTCATCTGATTTATCGGATGATGATTGATGAGATTCGGAAACAATCACCTGACGTTGAGGATAGGGTGTTGGATAAGCAGGTGATAAAAATTTCTTTTCAAAATTTTTCAATTTTTTAATTGTATTTGGTGGCTGTTCAATACGATGTGTTTGACCATTTGTTTCAGAAATTGCTATTAAAGGTTGAAGTGATTTTGATCGATTTTTATTTGGTTGATTTTCTTTTGAATGACCATTTGTATTTATAACTGAAACACGTTTACGTTTACGAGATGCTGGTAAAACAGAATTAGTTTGAGGAGGTGATGATGAGTTTTCTTCTTGAGAATATCGAGCAAAAGCTGACATTGGACCTGACATCTGAAAGAAAGAAAGAAAATAATTTTATTCATCTAATCGATGATGTTCATGATTTATTTATAACGTTTTCTATACAAATCCACACGTGAAAAAAAAAGAAAAGGAATGTTTAATTTTTCTAAATTTGTTTTTAACCAATAAAGACAATTGGATCAACTTGAATAATTCGTTTATAAAGTTTCCAAATTGATGTACAAACATCTTTTAAATGTGTTGAATTATTATATTCAGATGCACCTGAACATGTTACATTTGTACCAACAGAAAATGGTGTATAAGCTTCACGTGCTATTGATCCGGACGGATGTGACATATTTGATACACTCATAACAAGTGATTTATGACTTGTTGGACCAGCAATAGTACCCGGTGTAGGTATATTAACTGATGTTCGTTGAGAATTAGGATCACTACCACCCCCACTTGCACTTGATGTTCGTTCAGTTAAATTAAGATTTGAAAAGATATAATCCTAAAAAATAAAATGTTTTCCCTCTTCATTTGTTTTTAGAATAATAACAACAACATACTAATTCAAGTGATAATGTTTGTTTCATCATATTCTTTTGTGTTTCAGTTAGAAGTGTTGATCGCATAAAAAGTGGTACTTGTGAAAGAATAAGACTTAATAAATGTTCAAGTGCAAGTACAAGAAATGGTCTAGAAACAAAAAATATAAATGATATACAAAACACACTATTTTGCAATTAACCTTTGTTGTACTAAACGTTCAAGATCACTTTCTTTTATTCGTGCTGGTCGTGGTGAATTACTTTTAATAAGACTAAACTAAAAACGAAGAAAATTTTTCAAAAATAAAACTATAAAATATAGTATACTCGTTCCATTTGTGTAACAATATATTGAGCACCTGTAAGCCAAGTACCAAATGATGGTGTTGTACGTCGTTCTAATGTTGGTGTATTAAATAATGGTTCAACTAAATATTTAAATGAATCATAATCAATTGTTTGTTTATAAAGTAATGATTCATTTAATTCATTCAATGGAATTGTACAAGGACGAAGTGCCCAGCAGCAAGTACATAAAAGTCGTAATAAACCGACTTGAACTTGTTCAAAATCAGGTGCTTGAGAACTAGCTGGTTGAGCAGAAGCAGCAGCAACTTGTTGACGAACATTAACTAATCGTGGTTTTGGTGTACCTTCACCTGGTGTTACAGGCGGAATATTTGTCGGTAATGGTGATGATGTTGATTGATTAAAAAATGTTGATATTGTCGTTGTTCGTAATGAAGAACGTTGAGATAATTGCGAATGATCCATTAATGTTGATTGTGATAATGAATAATCAGGTACAATATTTTCTTGATTTTCTAATTCAGATCGATATGCACAACGAACTTTTTTCTAATAGAAAAATATAATAATTATTCTATTTTATTTAAATTTCTTACTGTTAACATATTATGTACAAGTGCTGAATGAAGAAGAAGATTAATTGAATCATGAAGAAGATAATTAACAGCTGCCTAGAAATATTATTTTATTTAATATTTCGAAAAACAAAATTTCTATATTTAATCTTACAATACAAATACATGCTTCCTTATGATGTTTACTCATTAATTGATTATAAAATTGAGTTAAACATGCAAAAAATTGACAACATACATCAGCATTATCTAATGATATTAATGAAAATTGTCTTGTTACATTATGAAAACTCTAAATGAAGACAAAAATTAATATTTAACTTTTGTTCTTTTTCTACCTACTTCAACAATATATTCACTACAAGCTGCAAATACATCTGATGCATTATTAAAATGTCGATAATCTCCATGAATACATTCAGCATGAATAAGACAAATATTTAAAAGTAAATAAAGACGTATAACTTTTGACCAATTCGTTTGTGATACCGCATCTTCATTGGAATTATTTATTTGTTGTTGAATAATATAACGAAATGTATGAAGTGTACGTGGTATAATATTCATTGTATGAAACCATTGAATACTATCAGTTTTCTTTGTTAAATCATATAGAAAACTTAAAATCGTATAACATACACGAAAATTATCACGCTCCTAAGATTGAGAGAAAATTCGTGTTTTTATGAAAAATAATAACGAAATTTTTACTTGTGAAACTTTATGAAATAGATCAATAATATTTGTTACTGTGCGTTCTTGTTTTAAATTGATTGATAAATTTGGTGAATCTTCTTTAGAAACAAATATTGATAATAAATGAAATGTATGAATAAGTGCCTAATTAGAGAAATATATAAAATAATAGAAGTTTTTTCGAAAAATTACTTTAACAGCGCATTTATATTGAGGTGTTGTTGATGGATGAATATCAATGATATCATTACAATAATCTACAAAATCTAATAAATGTGTAAGAACAGTAGAGTATCGTGTTAATTCATATTGTTGTTGATCAATATCTGCAAAAAAATGAAATTTAGATTCAAAATATAATAAACAACTGTTTTCTTACCAGGTGTCCATTCAAGAAATGTTTGAATTAATAAAACAAGTGCATCTAAATAACAATATTTAACATAGATTGAAACATATTCCGATCCAAGAACACAATTTGCTAGATTAATATAAGTTGGAAGAATATTTAATGGTGATTGAATTTTATCACTATTATAAAAAAAATTATATATTTATTTTATTTTTACGAATGAGATTTACTTTTTCCATTTAATATTCGCATTAATTGTTAAATTAAGACACATCACAGCTATTTTCATACATGTCGAATCATTTCGAGTTAAAACAAGTTGAACAATCGATGCTAATTCTTCCAGCCAAGTTTCACCACCTGGTAAAATCTTTCGGATACGTTCATTCTATTAAAATATTAATAAGTCTGTTTGAATTAGAATTTTCGAAATTCCCTTACATTTAAACAAAGAAGTGCTTTTGTAAAATAAATAACGGATGAAAAAAATGAAAATGATAATGATTGTTCATTTAACATTTCATTTTCAATATTTGCTTGAAAAAATGTTCGACATGCCTAAAATATTTCAAATATGAATTATTTATTAAATTCTATCGATTCAATATACTTTAATCCAATGAAGTAGACAATTATCACTGATTAATTTATTTAATATATCATAAAAATCATTTCCAGTTTGATCCCTATAAAAAAAAAAGAAGTTTTTATTATTCTTTTCGTTGAATTTACAAAAATTACGTTGTATAATTAAGTAAATGTTGTGTAAGTAAACGAAATGAAGTTGATACAGCTCGTTTATCACCTGTATCCATTAATTCAATACGTACACTTGTAGTTGTGATTGGTATGGAGATATTTTTCCAAAAATCATTTCTATAATACAAACAAATAAATAAATATTTTTGAATTGAATAAATCTTTTACATTTTAACAAAATAATCTACAAGTAATTGCGTATGTTGCTCCCAAAATTGTGTTATAAATGTAACAGTTAATATAAATAGATCACTTGCAGCAACGTCATTTGTATTTTGTGTACTCCATCGAAGTAATTCAACAATTGGTTGTAAAATTGTTGAATTACCAAATGTAGCTGTTGGTGTTGTATTTATATCACATAAATAACCAAGTAATGCTGATTGAGAATTAACACATACGATTAAAAAATCTAAAATAGCCATGGTTAAATCAGGAGACTAAAAAAAACAGAATAATAAGATTTGCTTTTTTTATTTTTGAATAATTTACTTGTCGATTTTTTATATTCTGTATAATAAATGTTCGAAATCGTTCAATATTTGTTTCCAATAGAATTGAAAGTCCAGGTGTTATCTAAATCAATTCAATTCTAATTTATAGAAGAAAATTTCAAATAATATATCTTCACTTTAGCTAAACTTGTTAAACATCGTAGACAAATTGGTGCTTTTATATCATTAATATGTTGTAATAAAAAATCAATGCAAACTTTAATTAATAATTTTGATGCAAATGGATTATTTGTTGTTTGATTCAAATTTTCGACTTGATAATCAATTAAAGAGGATATTATTGACATAGCATTTTGTAAACATGATTGATATATCGGATCCGCTAACCTAAAAATTTATTCATAGAGAAAGAAAAGTAAGATTTTGTGAAACATACGTTGAGTCTGTATCTGACGGCATAGCACATTGAAGTAATGTTTGACTAACAGATGGATGCTGTAACCAACCAAATATAAAAATTGGTGATCTAGAAAATGAAAAGATTTGTTTTAGGAGATTTTTTAATAATCAATACAAACTTGATTTGTTCATTCTCTGGTGATATTTTAACTGATGATGCTAAACAACGAATGATAACAGTCCATATTAATCTCAAACATTGTTCTCGTATTGGTAACCATCGTTTTATTTTTATTGATTTTGGTAATGTTGAAAAAAGTAAATGAAAAATTATTGCACGAAAACGATCAGCTGTTTCACTAATCTAAATAATAAGATAATAATAAATATATTGATTAATTATTGAAATGAATTTTTATACATGAATTGTATCTCTTGTAACTTCAAGTAATTTAATAAATACTGGAATCCATTCATCAGCTAGTTGATTTTCACTACACATTATTTCTAATCGACCCAAAAATGCGCTATCAAGTTCTGGTAAACTATTCAAAGAAAATCAGGATAATAATAATAATAATAATAGTCAAGGTTTGAATTTACCGTGCTGCCGGATCAAGTTCATTCGAGACAATGACATTTTTATCAATAAATGTTGGAAATAAATCCGAATCAATAAATAGAATTGTTAAATCTACGAGAAAAATGTTTTTTGTCAATCTTACAATAAAATCAATTGAATAAAAAACATACTTTGAGCATGTTTCATTGTTGCCAATGCTTCAATTAAAACATGAGATGGAATTACATTCATTTTACATAAACTAAACACAACCAAAACATTTATTAATTTATATAATATAGAAATTCTACCTTGGTAAAAGATAAATAATTCTTAATATAATTCCATCGAATCTATCATAATATTCAGGTCGAATTGTAATTAATGTTGATATACAATCAATAATAGCAAGTGTTTTTGTAAACATAGCAAGTACATTTGTATCCGATTCATCGACTATAGAAATATATAGATAGAAAGTTAAATTTTAGTTCTTCATTTACCTCGATCTTGTTTTCGTACATAACCAAGTGCTTGATCAAGTATAAGAAGTAATATTGCTTGTGGATCATATTTCGTTGGCCAAACAATAAACTGTTGGTTAGCATTATTTCTTATAAATCCTCGTGTATCTTCTTGAATAGTAACAATTCCTGAAAACAAAAAAATCAATAAGCGCTCTTAAACTTTGAATTTATATTTCA